GCCGAATTATTTGACAGCGTACGCGCATAGAAAGTACAGGCAGCCAAGAAATTTCTTCCTAGATACAATATCTCAGACATAATAGAAACACCTTAAGCGGATAAAGTTTATCTTAATTTTTCACTGATTTTTACATGTATTTAGAATAACCTTTTACTCGTTGATTATTCATACCGAGCCGATAATTAGTCAAGTTCACATATACTAAAAATAACGAAGAACCGCGTCGAATGAAAAAATTTCATTCCGTATTTTTCATTTATTTTTTCACGTAGAACCGATTCCTTGTCTATTGTACGATGACTGTCGAGACACCCTATATAGAGAGGAAGCTTTTTCTCTCTATCTTCCTTACTACTGCTTCGTAGAATGTGCTATGCTTAAAGTCTGGTACGAGAACTTTGTTGGACCTGGTGATCTGACTGGTAGGCTTAAGGATCGAAGTGAAAACCGATGAGTCCTGCGATAATCCTTCGTATGGAATTTTTGAATCGAGTAGTAAAATGAAATACTAGAGACGTCACGAATGTAAAGAATGTTGGAGAGGAACGTTCCTTTTTTTTTTTCTTGGTATTGATCAGCCGTGAAAGTGGTTATTTCATATTTTGTCAAGTCTGATTCCTTTGCAGAATTTGACGGAAGGGGTGAATTTCCAGGAACGAATAAATTGCTTCGTATATTTTTGGCAACAGCTGTGTTTGCAAGGATACGAGGATAATTTAGGGTGGAATAATTTAAAATAGGAGATATAGAGCGATTCTAAATTAATTCTAATAATTGTATCTTTGTATGAAGCATGTTACGTATTTCTGGAATAAAATTAGAGATTATGAAATTTGGAAAAACTACGGAAATAGATTTTGTACAAAAAATAATTATTAATCTATAGTATAACGGTAATTCGATCGATTTTAGAGCTGTTGCTGGCGATTTGAATGTGCACGTACAATCAAGGTAAAATCAAGCTTTGGAAGTCCATCGTTAGTTCTGATAAAGTAATATTCTGCACGTATTGTTATAAAAAGCTCGTTATATTCCTACCAGTCGTGAAAACATATCGCGATAGAGAATAAAGTTAAAGCTCAATCGATTATAAAACTAGAAGGATATTTCTAAGAGTTGGAATACGTGACTTTCAAACACGTTATTTGAAAACTGTCATTCCACTGTAATATAAAATTCAGTTTCTCATATCGAGAATTTGAAATAGAAATAATATGCTTTTCTTACAATTTTAAAATCTATTTCGACTGATTCAACCATCCGCGTCTAAATACATATCCATATAATAATATACGAACATTACGTCACAAATAACGAGAACCAACCGTCATATTGCCAAACCGAGATCGTTGTCCGGTTCATATTTCGCGAGCGATAAATTCGATGTAGTTAATGGTCAGCGTTGTAAACCTGTTTGTCAAAGTCTCAACGTTTTCAAACCATCGAGAAGTATTCCATACGTTTCTTTCTTTTCTTTTCTTTTCATACCGACTATTTATCTTCCAGCGAGGTAAACCACAACCGATAAGACGTGCTGTGAAAAAGAGAAAGATTAAAGAAATTTTGGAAACAACGACGCCGCAGTAAAGCACATCGATCGCAGAACCGGTCAAAGAAATCCGTAAAGTGTGAGAGCATTAGCGGGCCAGCGCAAATATTTTTCAGATGCCATAATCGCGCAACGTTTTCTTCCAGGATATCTGTTGACGGCCTGCACACCCAGAGAAACCTCGTGCTTCTCTTAACGTATAGCGCAAATATTGTTCTTAGCCAGGAAAATCGTATACTCGCGCGATTCTAACGGTTCTCCGTAGTCAAAGACGCCGCAAATGCAGCGGAAAGAATCTAACCGGGAAAGTCTGTGACATTGGCGTAGAGATCTCCGCGGATTAGCTTATATAGTTGGTTACAGGATGTAAATATTTGCGCTCGGTGGATGAAGATAGCCGCTTTGACTGAAAGAAACGCTTATAAAGCTGGAACAATCAGCGAGCTTGAAGCGTACAGTGGAAAATTTTCTTTCCATTTATCGAAACTGCACCGTGGATGTTCATGGAAATTCATATCTTGCTGAACATAATTATTTAATACTTTAATACAAATGAATACCTTTAAGTATAAGGAGATTGTATGTGGAAGTTAAATCAATTCGATTATAAATAATCGTTTCAATAATCATTTTTGCATTACATAAGATAAGAATTTGGTGAAAGTCAATTTGAATTTCTATGTATCCTCTCCTCTTAATAAAAAAGAATCTTTTCTACCCTTTGATAATATCTTACTGTTAACGATCATGTGCGTATGAAAATCAGAGAAATATTTCGTGAATTGTTAAATGAGTCTGAAAAAAAGAAACAAACTCAAGAACTCTAATACCCATTTCCAAGGGTTTCTTTCTTCCCCACTTCCCGAGAGGTTTCCACTTTTAACCCCATCGTTTAACTCCAACTTGCATCGAGTCTTACCCTCCCTCTTCGTCAGCAAGAGAAAAGAAGCTACGTCTTGTGAACAGCCGCTCGTTCGCACGGCCGTAATTTGTTTATGATGTTCGCGATGGCTCGCGCGTGTGCACGCTGCGACGCGGCACGATCGCGAATTTATTGGCTCGTACGTTAATTACTTTAATTATTACACTACTGTCAAAGGCTGATCGGAATACAAAGGAAGTTTATTCGACGCTGAACTATGTTTCCATCGCCCCGAGTCACTGATCGCCAATTAATTTTCCATAATTGGACGGACATGCTGGCACGATACACGCCTTGACGCTCGTGGCGAGCACGCGTGCACTCGATACGCGTTGCACATGATCGCATACACACACGTACTCACACAGCCGCACACATACAGTACGTTGGGGCTGCTTAAATTGTAGCTGTGCCGGCCGGCGGCCACCGCCGTCGTATTTTCACCGCGGAACCAATTAACAGTTTTCACCTATTCCTTTTTAGTAGCTCGGTCGAACGAGATGGCCAAAAAAATAAAAAAAAAAATACGCTAAAAAAAAATAATAAACGCGAAGCAGTGTATGCACGCGTCGGGAATAAAAGAAAGCATAACGAACGCTGATCGAGGCTGGGAGGGGAGTTGAAAATAGACGGGGGTGAGGGAAGAAAATGGATGAAAAAAGCGTTGCTGTGATGGCCTTATAGCGGCGGAAAAATCAACTTCGATTTTGTCGAATATACAAGGCGTTTCGTTGTTACCTGGGAATCGAGCGAAATCGAGCCGCTCGGTCGATGCTTCCGTTCGTACATGGGGCTGCTCGATAACCATGCTTGATTGATATTGCAAAAAGGATAAGTGGTTTTAAAGGAGAATAGCATGTGATAGAATATGTTAACGTTTCTCCAAAGTCTATTGAAATTGTTTTCAATCGGAAATATTTCTGAAGTCATTCGATATGGAGATAACTTAGAAGTGGAGAAAACTAGTTGTGCAATCTCAGGATTATTTACTATTTTCATCGTGTTTTATAATTATAACCGCGTTTCCTTTGTGAGGAAGAATATCTCCTGTTTATTATATTTATTATATTCTATTGATTACGTTACGTTATTCGAAAGGTAATGTTTCAATAATGGTCCGATGCAGAGGATTTAATATTTTAAATGTCAGAATTTCCAATCGCGCGTTGACGTTTTAAGGTTTCCTTATAGCCACAGTATCAAACGTAGAAACAGATATATAAGAGAATTAGAATTATATAAACTTTGTCCCACTTTCTTACATAAATGTATACGAATAAGGAAAATTCCTGGAATTTGATTTGAAATTAATCGGTAAAAATAATAAAAAACCGAGGTCAAGATAGAATGTAATTTATAAATTCAATGATTCACAAACAATATATACAAGATTTTGAAATCTATTTTCTTACAAAATTAGCTTTTTTCTTGGATATACGACGATACGGTTTGAGAAACCGAATCGAATTTTATAACTTCGGTGGCAGGGCTTTTAAAGCTATTTCGGCGCGGATTTCGTTAAGTGATACCAATAACCCGATGGGACAACAAGACGGGCCCTTCAGGATTCGGTGGAGTATAAACGAAGGGCCAGCAATCCCAAGGGATGTTATCTAATCCCGGCGGATTTGTTGATTCTACGACTTGTGCTTTCCAAAGCGCAATGTGGTTTCCATGTAGTGCTGGATTACCTTATTCTTTGCAGCCCTAAAGACCCTCCCGAAAACTTTACGCCGGTGTACCATTCTCGCAGTGTCTATTCCAGCCAATAAAAGTATTTCGTACTTAATCACGTTCGTCTTATGAAAATCGATCTTTGTATAAAGAAAATGAATAATGTAATTTAGATAAAACTATTATATAGAATCATTCTTAAATTATTTATACATTTATGACTTTTCAATGGTTTTCATTTGGTTTCAATGGTATTTAACCGCTTACTACGTTCTATTCTTTCGTATAACAGGCATATTCCAACAGAAAAATATGTCCACGAGCTTGAAAAAATTGAGAGGAACACGAGTAAATGGAGAGCTCTTTCTTCGTTTCACTCGTCGTCGTTTAATTCGTGCTATAAACATTTTTCATTAAAAATAAAGGAGATACTTAAGAGTCCACCTTTAGCTGGGACGCTAGTGGGACACCCTGTATATTAAAAATATTACCTTCCTTTAGACATATATATATATACCATACTTGTGCAGTATTTTCTCTAAAGCATAATATACACAGAGCGTCCCATCTGAAGTTCCTCACGCAATTATTTATCACGAATCTTGTGGTTTCGAGATTTCAAGGTGACCTTTGCTTTTTTATACGGAGTTGTATGTTTTATTTAAGTGAGCATGTAACTCGCTTCGTTCCCAAGATCATTTAAGGTCATTGTAGGTTATTTATTATCGTTCAACCTATTACCTTCGCTGAATGTCATCAAGATTTCATTTCCCAGAATACGTATTGCGTAGATTCGGATGTTAATATGAATCGATATCACACTAATGATGTGATATATCGTTATGTTTAATTATAGACGGGGGATAATCTCCTGCTAGATATCCCCATTTTGTGTCACAGTTGCTTCGAGGGAATCAGTGTTATTGCAAATAGTATTAAGTGAGCTGCTTTTCAATAACGATTTAATTTACGATGGCTCGCTATACACCTAGCGAAATTGTCGATATGCTTGTGGCTTTGAGAGAATGTGATGAATTTGGGAGAATTAGTTCTGTCACTTCCGAAATGTTATTTAGGGATAGAGTAAATAATTGTATTGACGTCCAAGAACATCCTTCTGAATACGCGCGATAAAAAACAATTTTTTTGGACGGAGGTAAGTTTTGGACTGCAAAAAATAATCTTAAATGACCTTAGAACACCAATATATCGAAATTCGGCGAATTCGCCATAGAACGGGCTACACGTCTATTTAAATAAAAATATATTAGTTCCGTATAAAAATCACAAAGATTATCTTAAAAGTACGTCCACCTGGAGAAGATTTGCGATCAACGTAAGATGACCTTCCCGGAACAGGGTAAGTTTTATTTGCAACATATTTTAAGCGAGCTGTAGTTTGGGAAATAATAGCGTGCGAAATTTTAAATGGGATACCCTCTATATGCATAATAGAATATAATACATATATAATGGATAATTCTCTGCAGAATATAATATGTAATATAATAAATATATAGAATAGTAAAGTATACTGAAAATCATACAGCAGTCACTGTAGCTCAGCAAAAGTCATTCTATAAGAAAATTACAAATCAAAATTACAGTATGCGATAAAACCTATGAATATTGTGAGATATATGCACATTTTGCGTTATACGAATTCATTTATACAAATATCAGCTTCAAACGTTTCTCTTCATATCATTTCATTAAGAAGCATTTTACTTTCATTAACAATTTTCCAAATCGTGTTACGATTTATTTACAAAACGGAAGAAACTTGAAACCAGTACAAAACCAATTCCTTTCTTTCCGCCCGAAAAACAGTATCATCGCCCAAGAGGAAACACATTTTCCTTTTATCGATCAGAGGAGAGTAATCCATATTCACGGTTTCGCGAGAATATCGGAGGAAAAGAGAAGAGAGAGAGGGGAAAAAAAGGAAGGATTTTCCCGGTTGTGATTGTTATTATTCCGTACGGAAAAATCAGGCCGGATAACGCGTTATCGGGTTGAAATGTCCTCGGAAGCGCGCGAATCTCTGAGCGAAAAACAAAGATGTGAACGTCGTTTGCCCCGCGGTGGCACTCTCGTAACGCAGATTATTCTATTACACGTTACGTAAACAGAGATAAAGAGAAAGAGAAAGAGAGAGAGAAAGGGAGAAAGAAAAGAGAAACAGACGAGGGAAACGCGGCGGAGCTGTTCCGCCGCTTTCCGCGTCTCGGTACCGCGATGTTGTTTGGCCTGAAAATACGTTATTGTTTCACCACGATAAAAAATTCAACGTTTGGATAATTACATCAGAGTTGATCGATCCGGTTAGCCCCCGGCGGATTTCTACTGAGTTACTGACTTACTTTGCCTACCCTTTGCTGTTTTGCCGCGAGACAGATGTTTACACGACCGACGTAATAACGTTAAATTAAATTCCTTTTCGGATATTTCGCGTTAAGTTCTACGTTTTCTAAGTCGTACATGATAAATATAATTCATCGTATAGATTGATACAGAGTATAGAAGAAGGTAGAGAGTAATCGTATTTCGCTTCAATTCGTAGTTGCTAAATTTTATGTAATAATAATTATCAATAGGTTTATCGTAGAACAAACTGGAATACGTATTACATTAAATATTTTAGAATTACGTGATCTCTAATTCAAATGTAGTTACATTGAAACTGTTACGATTATCTTATCTTGCCAAACGTGTATCTATCTCGTAGAATATAGAATACAAATAAGAATGAAATAATCCAGAGAGATTATTATTGAATTTCTGTCGTTACCGCAACGGTATGAATTTCCATTCTGTTTAATATCCTTGCTTTGTCAGAGATCGTGAACTGTATCGTAGAATATAGGATATTTGCATACGGAAATTATTTTGTACTTATACCTCTATCGTTAAATACTTCGGCGTTCTGCCTCTTAGGTTCACATAGTGTACCACATTACACGCATAAATCCAAATTATAAAGGCCCTTTCTTCTCTTTCGTGACCGGGGGCACGCTTCGAACGAACGGGAGGTTCAGCTGCGTGCGTGCGCGCTCCAAACGAAAATGCGTCTATCCGCGCGGATTTCCAAGAGCAAGATAGAAGAACGAGCAAAGAACGAATCAGTTTTCGATAGAACCACCCGTGCGTGACAGCTGCGATTCTTTTTTCCGAATCTTTCTTTTCCTACTTCTTCCTCTCCCTTTCTCTCTCTCTCTCTCTCTCTCTCGATCTTTGAAGCTTCGTGTTTTGCCCGGCTACATAATCCCTTCGAGCAAGAGGAACCGTGAAAGGAGGAAGAAAAACCGAGCGAATCCAACGAAGATGAAATGAGAAACAGAGAAACGATGAAGGAAAAGCGATCCAAGTGAATCGACGAGAGGGAACAGAGTAAGATGGGAGAAAAAAAGGAGAGAGAGAGAGAGGATAAACGTTGAAGAACAAGGACGAGGAAAACCGACGACCCCGCTGTTTGCCTTTTATTAAACTCTTGTTAAACGCCGCCTTTCTTCGCACACACAATTGAATCGGCAAAACAGCGAAGATAATGCTTCGACCGAGTTGTACACGGCCGAGGGCCAGGCTCTTCTACGTGGAAGACTTACCGCAAACACCAGCTTCTTGTACACCCTGAAATGGACACCGTGTAATCCGGCTTTTTATACGGCAGTGCCGCATTGACCGGCTCCTCCAAGGCATGCACATCGGCTACTAGTGGCTAATAAATACTGTCGTCATCTCTCTCTCTCTCTCTCTATCTCTCTCTCTCCCTATACGTTTCCGTTTGTTCGTGAAAAAGAACCCTGAAAACGATTCTTCAACGACCGTGAAAATCGCACGGCCCACCCTCTTCCTGCCGGCATCGTTCACCTCTAATGAAAATATTTGGATATTTCGAGCAAGATTGGCGTGACCCACGTTTCAAAGCGTGCCATTGTACGCCGTTGCTTCGAGAAGCTTGTAAGTAAGTACGTTTTTCATTCGAGCATGACTGCATTGGACACTATGAGGTATTTGATGCTTTCTGTGATTTTATTTGCAAGTTACGTGTATAACTATTATGTTATATATTTGATGAATAGTATCGGATGCACGCGTTTATTATGCGTACTATTTGTGTACTTATATTTTGTATGTTTTATGTTTGATGTTTCTTGTTTTATTTTCATTTAATCCATATACGTCTACCATCCTTTCGAAAAGATGATTGAACGATAAGTTCGTTATATAATATTTTGTGTTTTTCATGATACTATATACTATCTGGTAGTCTTTGAAATCATGCTCGTGTCATTGATCATTCTCTTCTAGTGGTCTTGGTAGTTTTTTCATTTGGACTGGTCCTTAAATAATTCACAATTTCGTCCAATTCCGATAGCATCGTATCGGTATGGTTTATCGAATCTTTTAAAATTATTTATGATAAATATGAATACATGAATGTATAATAATCGTCGAATTAAATTGTTTCTCGAGACTATATACGATATGTAATAAATATTATCGTAATATCTTATCTTCTAATACCTTATGACAATAATTGCCTCAAACGTTTCATCAAACCTCGGTAAAATTTATTATTCAGCAATAGTATCCTCAGTTAATTGGTCCAATGAAAAATCTATAGATCATATCAATAAATTAAGCAATCAACATTATCGTACTGATACGACATCCGATTTTTCATTTAAACCATTTGGATCACGGAGTACAAAATATTATGATAGAAACGTTATAGTTGTAACTTGAAATCAATTGAAAAAATCACTGATTTTAAGAAGTTTGTATGAAAGGAAAGTTCTAAAACTCAAAGTATATTTTGTCTATTTTTGGTATCGACATGAATTTCGCCAGATTTCCAAGTGCATCTAGCCTCCAGTAACGGCCGATTTAATTATCGTTATCCGTAACCCCTTCGATCTATTCGCATTTGTCATGTTCTTCAAAACAGTTTTAATTGCAGCTCGATAAGACCGGAAATCAAAGGTTATAAACAGCAAAATACCGACACAAAGTGGCACGAGATATCGTGGAATGCGTGTTGCAATTCATAGAATTGCAATGGGAGTCCGAGTTACGTATAGAATAAGCGCGTAATGCATTTAATAACCCTTGCGCAGTTCGTCAACAATTTTTCTACCCATTCTTATTCCTTTCCTCTTTCAAATAAACTTTCCAATTTTATAGAGAAACCATCGATAACAAATTTCCGTACATTAAATTTGTTTTGAAATTGAAAAAAGGGGAATACGATTCAAGAACCATCGTTGAATTTATTATTAAACGATACCGGTAACGTCGATTATTATATTTGTAAGTTCGTTAAAAAATAAGTTACGGCACAGTCAATTTCTCGTTACGATTTTTCTTTTTTTTTTTTTTTTACAATTACCACGATCGACAAAAGAAAGGACGGGAGAGACGGAAGCGTGGAAATCAAATGGAAGGAAGAAAGAAAAAAGAGAATATAGTTGTGCACAGTTTATAAACAATGTTTATTTTCTGCAATTTTACTTCTGTTCCATATCGTTTCGTTCTTTTTTCTTTCCCTGTTTTAATTCTCTTTTACAATCATAGGAGCAGCCTACATTTAACGTGATTGAAAAATCTTGCGCCATTGCGAATGTGAATGTTGAATATGTATACAGCACATATACATGTACATAACACACACATATATATATACACATACCTTTTCATTTCATTCTTATTTTACTTTATATAATGTATATCGAGGTAAAAACTAAGTACTCATAAAAAACGTAGATCAACATTTTTCTCTTTATTTTTTTCAATTTTTTCTCTCTCGTTCTGGTGGGATATCGTTTATAAGGGCACATTATAGGACTCTCTATGTGTACATACATATACATATGCATGTGTTCTCTATACATATATTATATATACACATACATTTTACATACTTTCAAAGAGATATGACATCCGGATATCGCTTTCTTCGTTCAACTCGACTCAACAAAATTCCACAATATATCTGCGTGATTCTCTTCGTTCCCCTTCTTCTTGTCTTTCTTTCTTCTATTTTTCCTTTTCCTTCTTTCGCCCCCTATTGACTAGTGACACTGATAATTGACTAATAAATACTGAGCTGCTACGAGATTAAGGTATACAATGGATTGGAGGAGACAGCTAAGCTTCTTCTTTTACACGAATCAAGCCACTACATTTTACGTAACTCAAATTCGTTTTGTATAGTCTTAATGTTACTTACTAGGAGACGATGGCACGTTGGATTGACGTAAGGAAAAAGAAGTAAAAAAGAACACGAGATAGGAAAAACCGTATGAAAGAAGAGGGAGAGTGTAATTAGGAATAATCGAAATAATCGTTGGAAATAGCAGCGAACTCGTACAGCGACTTAACGTACGTGCCGAAGTTTAATCTGCAATGACAAATTTCAAGATATATATATATATATATATATATATATATATATATATATATACATACGTAAATCTTTTTTTGGCATCGACGAGAAACAGAAGAACCAAAAGACTCGTAAACATCTCTAATCACTTCGACCTGTTTTCACATTATTTACACATATACATGTATGTATGTATACGTATATGTCTATATTTCTATATGGCATGAGTATAGTCGTTGAGATAGACGTCCGGGATATAAACAGGTCATCAAGTAATTAGAATCATTTTCACGTAGTATCATTGCTATTTTGTTTGTCAGCTTGGAAAACCTTTCGTTTCTGTTTCTTTTGCCATTTGTTTCTTTTTTACTTGTTTCTGGGGTATTTCCTCTGTCAGTAATCTCATCTATCGAATTTCACGAATTCTTCTACATATAAAAATATACATATGTATATACGTAATAAATACTCGCTTCATACAATTCTGTTTCTTTTCTTTTTTTTTGAAGCGAATCTTCGTGTACGTTTATATAGCATTTTCTGAACTCTATGCGATAAAGGGAATATATTAACAGTACAATATATGCGTGTGAAGTTGAACACACGTGAGATTTAAATATACTGTTGGTGGAAGGGATATTGTGAAGTCATAAAGTAATGCTTAAATAGGGACGCGCCATAGCCATATTTTCTGGACGCTCATTCTAAGATGGAGCCATCTTAAATTCCAGATTGCAAACATTATTTATATATTTGTATTTAAAAGCTCTGCTTACAATCGTTCATTAGACCTGCATGATTCGTTTATTAACTCTTGTCGGTTTCTATTTTATAATAATTATTGTATTGATAAAAATTAAGCGACAACTACTTACACAGAAAGAACTAGTTACAACTTGCAACTTATCTATTCTTAAATCCCTTAGATCTTCTCAGATTTTCTACATTGATGTTAAAAATTCGTATACTTTCAGGCATGATGAATTTTACGATCTCACCATATCTCTTCCACCCAGACTACCTATCGTTTCGACCATGAAATTCGAAGGAAATCCAATGACGATATATGAATGTAAACACGTAAGGTACAGAAATTTAGAACTACATCTACAATCTCTTGAAAACGTCCTAATACCATGATCATTTCGCTGCTTGGCATCGATAGCGACACAATTCTAAAATTATACATTTTAAAGCATATTTTCAAATCATTTCAATGACATTGTAAAGCTGACTTAACGCAAGATACGTCAGTATTCACGAAAGCGGTACAACCTTCCACTTGTAGCGTCATGAAACAACTGAAAATAGGCCAGTGTTGTAAAACTAAGGGTTAGGTTGATAGCAACATACATAAATAACGATTTTGTCCTCTGACACAAAACTGAATTATAGAATTACAAATCTACCATTTTTTATGATAAAGCTAGAAACGTAACGCAGATTTTCTTTTATTCGATAAAAGAAAATCTGAAACTTCTTGAGTTGTGTCATCGTTAGTGTGAAGCAGCGATTTGTTCCCCTTCGAATGAAATATAATTATGACGCGTGCAAAAACTCACGTTCACTCTTTTGTATAGATGGAGTTCGTAGATGGAAAACGTAATACATTCAACAAAGTCTAGCTACTTATAAATCTGTGGTAATGAATCTGTTATTCATCCATGGATGAAAAAAGTAAGGTAGATCTTTGTTATATACATCAGTTCCTGATAAAAGGAGACGAGCTAATATTTTGTAGAAAAATTCACTATTGAATCTCTGTTTCAAAAATTCCATTTCATATTCTTTCAGCACTTTTCTCCTCTTGTGTCTGGCTTCGATTTAAACAAGGCCTATTATCGAAAACAAAGTTTTGCATAAACTTTCGTTTGGTCAGTCCCCACTGTATAATAATTACTTTATATGCATAGTAATTTTTATGATACTCTTTATAAAAAAATTCTTTCAGAACCCATCGATGTCTCATGCAAAACGCATTGAATTAATTAAGTGCTAAATGTTTTCTTTCTCATTATTGTAACACCTTTAATGAACATCTAGAAAGGATCGATCAGTTTTGAAAACATTCCACTAATATTAAAGAACGATTTTTCGATTTTCTTTTATCCCTTTTTCATGCCGTTCTTATTCCGTTCAGTCGAGTTCAATTTTCTTTCCTTAGTTTCACGTAGAAAACAGATAAACGCGTGGAATTAAAAATTCTGAATTTTTCTATTATTCTACTTAAAAACGTGTAAAAGTTGTCCATGTTTACTTTGATTCGTTTATCTTTAAGTGTATCGTTTCTCCCAATAATTTGTTTAACAGTATACGTTTGTATGTGTTGGTACATAATGTGTATATACATGCTGTGTTGTATGTTAATATGCGTCTAACATGTATGCGTACGTACAAAGTATGTACATTTCGTAAACCCCTTATCGCTAAGTTGTCGTACTTTATGTAGTTTATTATTGTTTATTGTGTATTAACCTTTCTCTTGTATGTGGACTTAAATTGGCACTGTTTCATCGTTTGATTTATAAAAGAAAAGAAGGAAAGATAAAATCATATTATTAGTCGATTAACCGTTAAACTTAAGAATTCCTTTTTTACAAGCGATATGCATACTAAAAGCGTATTCTCGCCTGTATTCATTCGTTCTCGAGTCGTCTTACCTATATCGATTGCATTTAATTTAACAGCTTGTAAACGTTATTGATATTCTCATTTTAAAAAAGTACATATTTGCATCAGAGAAGAAAAGAAAGATAGCTTTTATAAAAAAAAGGACAGATGTTTCATGATTCTATTTCAAAGAGAATTCTTTATAATCTTAACAAAATGAATGCGTTTCGCATAATTTCAATGGTATACAAAATACATGCCCAATATACATACAGCGAAATCGGCCACATCGACCTGATTTAAAAAACAGCAACATCCAACAAATCGATTTAAAATCTACAAATGGAAAACTGAAACCTGTTATATTAGTCAATTATGATATTTTGAGCAGGCTACATATTCGAATACAATTTTTTGTATCCTCTCTTATCTCCTAATATGCTGACATACGTGGAACCATTTCTCCGTTACAATCATCCTGTTTCGTGTCTCGGAAATTGGTAGCAAATATACAAATATTTAATAAAATCAGTTTTCGTTAAGTTATTACGATAATATTAAAATATATATCGAATATTTCCTGTGATACTTTTTGAGCGACGCGAACTTAGAAACTATGCATAGCTAAGTACCTATTATACGACTTTTGGTAAAACACGCTTTATCGAATCTACATTCAGGCTGATTATATCGCACAGCGTAATAATTGTTATGGTGAACATTAAATAAAAAAAGAAGAAGCCATCTTCACTCTTGAAACGAAGATTTAGCGACTGCACACGTAACATTCATCTTTTTTAAATTCTTTTTTAATAATGCGATTTGTTATGTTTTATCGGGGTAAAGCCATTTAACTGGTCACCGGAGAGATACATCGATTAAACATCGAAAACAGTCAATATAGAATGATTTGTTGGTTCCACATCGAAAAAGATCAATTCTTCCATTTTTTGGCTTGTATACATGCGTAAGTACGATAAGTTCTATTAAGTTAACTCGATACAATCGAATATGTTAAATAGAAGATCTCGAATACAATTTATCCAAGGGAAAAATTATTCATGTGACGCTTGACTTGTTCGATACATGACAATGATGCTTTCCACCATATTCTCGCAGCCGATACAACTTACGCGATGATTTTTTTTTTTATTTTAATTTTTTATTTTATTTTATTTTATCCACCTAGAGATTCCCTTTTTTCCTTCGCTCTTATTCTTCCCTCTCGCTTTTATTTGATCTTACTCTACGAGTACATCATATTAAGCCTGTGACATACAAAGTATGTATTTCTTGTCGAGGATACAGTCGATGTGATAACGAAGATTATTAGGGCGTCACCTAGGATTCTAACACTGTATTCGTCGGCATATACGACATTTCCATGGTAATTCCAGCGCTGCTACGTCGGTATCTAGAAGGAATCTCGGTGCTGTTGCGAGGCTTGCGTCTGCTCAAGTGTCTCTCTACCCACTTCAACATGGTCAACACGGAATCCGTACTCGGCAAACGTCTTTCTGCCGACGTACGGATTATATGCGACGACGCTACGCGGAAGGTAGCTGCCATACCTTTTAGCGCCTGCAGAGAATACATAATTATATAGATTATATAAGATATGACAATAAATCAAAATCAAAGAAAAAATGAACTTAATAGATGGATAAAAGTTTGAGGAAATGTAATATTGACTATATTAACTGTATAGAATTTATAAGTTTCAGGATATTTAATATTAACTATATAACTATATATAATTTTTATGTTTCAGGAAATCTAATATTGGCTGTATAACTATGTATAATTATGATATCTAGTATTATCTTTTTGTGGTAATCTGAAATCTTTTATTAACACGTTGATTGTTGATGACGTTACGTTATCGTGGTGTGGTTACTTTCAGGTGCAAATGACACCACCACATCAGCGTCACGCGCAACGATTTTCGAATGACGTAGCAAATGTTGACGATTGCTTAAAAACAATTTCCGTCACAATGGAAGGCCACGCGACTTCAACTTAACGATGAACGTGTTAAAGTATTAGATATAGTATATGTCCATTCTTCCTTTACTGTAGATTCGGTTATTGGGGAGTTCATACCTTCATTGCATCTTCATCTGTAACATCATCACCGGCATAAATAATCCTGATACGTTCGCTCCAATCTAAACCAAATGCCGTACGCAGGATGTAAATGGAAGCACGACCCTTATTCCATTCAACTGGTGGTCTAGCTTCAATGGCACAGTGCGCTGAACAGGCTTTGAAACCTGCTTGCTCGATGATTTTCTTTGCCTGATCAACCATCTGAGAACGTCCTTCCATTGGCGTTTCACGATAATGGAACGTCAGTAACGCTCCTTTGTTTTCTACCCAAGCTCCATCCTTGCAAAGCTAGATTCAATACATCAAATTAGTCGTTTAAAGTCGTAAGTAATTAGTTGTAATTAGTTGCAATTACAATTGTTGAAGATGTTACACGATACGTCCCTAGTACCTAATACTCAAAATTCTTAGAAATATTTTTTCTACTTTGCTTTTGTTACTATAATACAGAAATGTTATTGAAAAAGATACTTAATTGAAAGAGGCAGCTCTATCTTTGACTAATTTGAATAAATCAAGAAAAATTAACTCAAAGTCAATCAAAATCAAATTACATCTTGAAACGTGCTATAAATGCACAGCCAAGAAGACATTCGTAATAATAAATTACGTTTTTGAATATAGAATCGTCTTCTTTCTTCTTCTTTCAATAAAGACAATCTAAGTATTGGAATTACCCCTTTATCGTCGTAAACTCTTCAATTATAATTATTACACTCTAATATAACTTCCTTTTTACATTTCTCATTATAATTCATTGCTCGCTTAAAAACAATATTATAATATCAGAAAATATTAAAATGCTCCAACAATTTTAATTGCAAGACGAATAACAAATATCTCAAAATACTATCGCTTTGGAAAAAATAATGAAAATCATACTCACTTGGTCTTGCAACGTTTGCATCAAATTTGCCACCTTATCTTCCAACTCAGCAGGCATCGGATGAACAAACTTGCTACCGTCCGGATGCAAAATTTCCAATCCGTGATTTCCGGCGTACGTAATACCTTCTATACCAACCATCGACTTCACATTGTTCACGTTTCTGCCTGATATAATTGCTATATATACATCGGACATGTTCGATAGCCTTTGGAGAACGTTCTTCGTTTCCAAAGGTAAAATGGCAAGATCCGGATGAGTCGCAATAGGAGCTAAAGTACCATCGTAGTCCAGCAAGAGGGCCAATTTATGATTATCGCCGATATACCTAGGGGACATGTGTTATCACTGGAACGTTACCCGGCTTTCATCATGAGTCAGGTCGCATTCGCACGCGCGGGCCCGCCGTGTTCCAAAAGCATTCTCTGACTGAGCATAAACCTCTTCAAACAGTGTCGAACATGGACACACGTAATCCGTAGACTTGGAATTTTATTCAAGAACATTTTCATACTTCGTTCACAATGCATTAAATACATCACGATAACTTAATTAATTTTACAATAGGATAGATTTTTCAAGAATATTAATACAGATGGATACGGTTAATTAGGAAAATTGTTGCAAATGTTCTTGATTTTGAATAGTTGGAAGGTTGCATATGTATTTGTAATATATCATTGGTAATATCAAAGCACCTGGTGGTCAGCGTTCCCTACGCTGCGATGTACCCAAACTCATGCTCAATTTAATAAACAATTCAATCGACCGGATTTTTAATCAGTTTTTGTCGAAAGATGCATTCCATTGGGACCGTTCTGTTAACATACCAAACTTGTGGTTTGTACTAGCATGCTCATCAGCAATCTGCACTCGTACATGAGATAAGCAAACTCTACCTATACACTTTGATGTATACAATTTTTGTGTAGAAGATTTTTAGTAGAATATTGTGTATTTAAAGTGAGCTAAATTACGATATTTGTCATTAAAGTGCAGCAATCTCTTTAAATTTTGGTTTTAGTTTTTCTGCCCCCTTATTTATTCTTGTCTCATGACTCAACAAATTAGGTTTTAATAAGTAACTACGAATCTACTTAATTTTGTGAGTAGCCATCGGTAAGTTTGTTTTGTAATAGTTTGCCCACACACATACATTAAAGTGCGATTAATTCATTTAGTATTCTCAATGTAATCAACAATTAATTCGATAGGAAATTTACATACATAGTGTTAATAATTTTAACACCTTAGAATAACTGGATTTTAATCGTACATTGGTTGATTGATTTTCGTATAAGCACATGCTCTGGTCGGGCCCAGTCATGCATGTCGTTGATCTCTAACAATACCTACTTGCTCAAGTAATCATCGAAATCATCCATGGTCACTGGTTGCATCGTGGTTGCACCTACAGAATCATGTTCCTCCAGCGATCCCATTACTTGCAGGAAGGACTTCATCCAATAATTGACATCGTTGATCCTTTCACGGCGTCTTAAGTGATTCATTCTTAATGTGCGTTCGTCTTCTGGCATGGTAAGCGCTCTGGAATGTATAGAAAAATTAATTAAGAAGTTTAAAATCGAGCTCACAAACCATATTTATATGTTTGAAACTGTTTTGTTCTTTTTATTTGAACGTTTCTTGGATAAGAATTAAATACTTAAAGTCATTGAAAGCAGTAATATTTTTGCTTAAATGGTTAATTAATTTAAAAAAGTAACAATTAGTTGATTTGATGTAATAACATAATAATACAATATTAAAGCTTTGATGTTAACAGGAATATAAAAAAATAGATTTATTATAGAAATATTAAATAGATTTGTTAGAATATACATACTTAAAAGAAAGACGATTTGCAATCAAAAACTTCAGAGTTACAATAGTAAATATTTAAATGATACTCCAAATTCAATTTGTATAAACATATTAATCCTACCTATGGATAACTTCAGCAGCTTCGTCTAATTCATAAGGATTACAGATCAAGGCTTCGTGCATCATCTCCCCAGCTCCAGCGAATGGAGAAACGATCAACACACCAGGTGGTGTGTTAATTTGACAAGCGACGAATTCCTTGGCGACCAAATTCATACCATCTCTAAGTGGTGTAACCAGAGCAACCGCAGCATCCCTATAAAATGCTGCCAATTCGTCCTGACTCACGCAACCATAAATGTAACGAATAGGAGACCAATTCGGTGTCGTAAATCGACCGTTTATGCGACCGATAAGTTGATCCATCTCAAGTTTCAAATCCTGATATTCACGTACGTCAGTTCGCGATGGTACAGCAATTTGAAGCATAGTAACCTAAACAGATATATCATTTCGTCGAGTAATTTGATAGGAAACTCATATATTTTTTTTTTTTTTTTTTTTGTAATTTTCTTTTAGTATCTGATTAATTGAATAAGACAATTTAATAGCTATGTTTTAAACTAAATCTAGAATTATTTGATTTATAGTATTTTATCCTATCATTGAACACTGTTTGTGACCAATAAATTCTTATGTAAGTTTCTTCGTCACTATTTTTCTAAAAGACGGATAGGTCATAACAGATTAACCGTGTGACCTCTTTGGTAACTAGATCTAGCTGAGTTTTATTGACATTTTGCAATACACTCTACTTCAATTAAAACATATTTCAATAATTACAAAATGAATAAATAATACACCTTGAATATTTATTATGAAACATTGGAATAATCCAAAGTAGCTTTACTTAAATAAACGAAACATTTAGACATTAATCTTTCCGTTTTATTTTATTTCATGTGTAAGTACTTTGACCTCATATATGTACCTCCATAAATTACCATATATTAAAATGTAAATATAAGGGAAATGCGAATCTTGTATGATTTGCGAATTTTATTATCGCGTTAATATCAATTATAATAATATCGTTACCTGTTCACGATGTTCTGGATGTTTTTCTAGCAACAGCTCAAAAGCCTTCAATCTGTTGACCAGACCCTTGGTATAATCAAGACGATCAACGCCCAATACAATTTTCTGATTGGTCAACATGACCTTGTTAGCACTCTCGGCTAACGAGACGAATCTATCGAATGGAATGCCAATGGGAAGTGGTCTCACACGAACAGTTCTTCCACCGTGCTCCACTAACAGATTCTTACGATCAACCCTGCACCCAAGACTTCTCTGGCAGCAGTCGACGAAGTTCAGACAATAGTCTTGAATGTGAAAACCAACCATGTCGCAACCTAAAACAGATACAAATAAATTTACATTCTTTGATTCGTAACAGTCAGCTTTCAAGATTTTGGCAAATACTTTATTATAACGTATAATCTAATTAAAATTCGTGAAATTTATATATTTGTATTCGGCTTTTAAGAAATAGAATTTAGTACTTTAAATTCACGTTAAATATCACTTCTGGATTAAATTTGCAAATTTTAATCGGCAACTTAAAAATTTTTAGCGATATAAGAATCAGTGAAAGCTCACCAAGCATTCCTTGAAGGATTTCATCAGCCCATGGGAACAATCTGAAGATGTCCCATGGTGGGAAAGGGATGTGGAGGAAGAAGCCTAATTTACATCTGAGACGTTTCTCGTCGGCTCGTTGCCGAATCCAATTCGCTGCTAACATTAGGTGATAGTCGTGCACCCAGACCAAAGGCGTGCCATTCGGTTGATTCTTCTGCTCCTTGTAAATTTGTTCCAGTGCACTGACCTAAGTCGATACAAAAACTGAATATTTAGTACTAGAAATATCTGCCTAATATAATGTCTATAATCTCGTTTTTATCTCAATAAAACTCAATTTTTACTAAAGGCATATTTTCGATACTTTGAAAACAATAATTCTTTTTCTCCGATACAATTCCATTACGAATAACTTACTAAGTAACAAAATATTCCACGTATGCGGAACTTTTCAGTTCTCATTACTATTATGACAACATAATATCTCGCATGTAAAGGTACATATCGCTCTGTTTAAGTCGCAGCAAATATTTGTTACCTTGATAACATTTTTAACAATTTCAACGTAACACTTATTTGTAGAGTACACAAGAGTATAAGAGTATATAGATAACAGTGTACTTCCTGTGTTTCATATCTTATATACATTTTTCTTTATCTGACAATTTTATCCACATAATCGCTGCCTGACATAGCATCATATACATATATCCTCTCGTCGAATTGAATTACTACTCTCTTGCTATTTCAAGTAGCTGACGTCCTATTGTAATTTCAATCGATACTCCATTCGACGGCGATTATACTCACCGTTTTAACAGCGAATTCCTCGTTGACCGCGGAGTACGCTCGCCAATGTTCCGCGATAAAGGTCGCTCGATCAGGCATAGAGTGGAACAATGGCCAAAAGGTTCCATTGCAACATCCATTGTAGTACGCATCGAAGATGACCGGGTCGAAGTGTACTGCCATAACCTGGGGAACAAATATTACGACCTCTTTAATCCGGCTGTAGAATATAACATGCACATAGATATTAATTAGCGTTCGCTGAGATGTCCCAAGGCGATTCTTTGTATAGAACTAAAGAAGCAACTTCGTAGTTTTCCTTTCTTAGCAACTGTGCACATTATTGTTAGAAAAGCAGAGAATAATACGAATCGCGTAGAAAGTAATGATATTTGTTGACGTTATATGTATTTTTATTTTTATTTAACTTCTGCATCTTAATTTTTATATCTTTTAATTCATAAGAAGAACGTACGTAAAATGACATGGTCACATTGCTAATTCCATTTCTTTTTCTCTATTTATTTAACTTCCAAATCTTTATTTTTACACATTCTGTGTATTCTTAAGGAAATCTCTCTCCCCCTTTTATGTTTTCACGTGCTTTTAGAGGATGAGTTAATTTCAAAAGCGCGATTTTTCAAGATACTGCAATTACTAGCGTATTTATTTTTTAAAGATACAATCCTGATATAGAAAAATATATTTAGAAAAGAACGGAGCACAACAGGATATCGATACGTCTAGATTCTATATTTTAAAGATAACCAGTTAACGTTAATTTTCTATATTATTTTGAATGTGAAGGAATATTTCAATTTTTATAGAATCAAATGGAAATTTTAATTCACCCATGTAACATCCTGCCATTAGACTGAATTAATTATTCAACTTCTTCATTCTATCTTCTGACATTTCAATAACGTATCAAATGTACGTGAAAGATATAACAAAATCATACGAGAAAAGGTGATTGGCGACGACTTTTATAACGAAAGAAATAAATATACAGAATTGAGATACATAAAGGCTATAAAAACCGTTGCTTGGAAAAGACAGTATTATTACAAATAGAAACATGTACCCATTTGTATTTTTAAATTTTTACAATAGAAAACAATAAGATCAACGGATCTCTTTTTTAACATAACAATGGGTCGTTAAGCTACCTATTTTCTTCCTCAGCACAATGTTTTCTTCTCGGAAAGAGACTCCACGAGATGCAAGATGATTAAGGAAAAGCTATCTCCTGTTTCTTTCGTTCGAATATAATGGTTCGCGAAAATATTTGAACACTTATTATAGACAATTTTATATATATATGTCTATAATAAATAAATAAATAAATAAATAAAATAATAAATAAATATTTAGATATTGTGTGTGTTACGTAAGACATTTTCAAATTTCATTAGCCCTGTAACGAGACACAGATATCGTCAAATTATATCAGACATATTTGAAAACAATCTAAAAATTTATATAGAAATTATGAGATACTTGCTGCAAACATATATTTGATAAAAAATTAGTATACTACATAAATACACATTTTAATCGTACAGTAAATGTCAAAGATGGTCCCATTAAATATTGAAGTTTATCAATATAATAATTGATTTAATTTCTAATTTTGTTTCGTATAATCCAATTTCATGGATTCGTTATCGTCCTTTCAAAATTCCATTATGTCCATCGTACCTAGTTTTATATTCTTGATCTTCTTTTAAAATTCCTTACGATCAATTCCACATTGGGAATTATAAGCAAGTTTGATGACACTGCTTAATGGTGTGAAAGCAATTCTACACTCGATTGCCACAAATAGTCACAGCGTCGATCGAATGCAGCAAATAACTCGACAAATGTTAAATCAATGACGTTACACGTTCTGTCGATCGTCATACGCGTTTGCAGATTGATCGTCGCCATTGCAGGAAGCATATAATAACAATAGACGCAAATTCCTAAGCCGTGGTATACAATTTTCTTTATCAAAAGCAACGATCAAAGATTCAGACATCGTCGCTTCGTAACACGAAATTACATCGACATTAATCTGATAATAAAAAACAAACTGTGTACTTGAGAAGGAACAAGAGATAAACATAATATCATTTAAAAATTGTGGGACGCTTGAGTGACGACAATTTTAAGAATGTACCCAATATAGTATACCAGAACACTGCAATTTCAAAGAAAGTCTATTTTAGATTATATAATTTTATTATGCAACTATTTTCGTTGGTAGAAGTACAATAGGATTTAACAAGCTCGCCAATTTCTTCAGTTCTTAAATGTGTCAAGTTCGATAAAAAATATTAAAATTGCGATGCATTAAATATTAATGTATCGAGCCAATATTTCTTATATCCCTGAGATTTAGTGCGTCCAGGAAACTCGAATAAGAGCTAGAGATTTTACTTGGAGCCATTTGTAGTGTCTATATAACTCCAAACGAGTCTACCATATAAGTATCGATTTTAATTAGCAGTGAGAAATTTCTTTGGCTATCACGAAAAATAGATCATAAAATTCCGTCATAAATTCCAGCAACGTATAAAACGAAACAATGTTCCAACGAACGGAGACATAGTTGAGTTTTATGATGATGAAGGAGATTTAGTTGACTCGTACTACTTGACGAAGTTTAGAGTCTGCTCTAGTTACGACGAGATGGTATGTTTCCAGAATTTTTTCATTTATCTGCTTTAGAAGTAAGTATCTACCTAAAGATACTACCCACTTTTAATTTTGTCAAACATTAAAAAATTTCTTAAAATTCCCTACATATTCTCAGGGAAAGATTTCTATTACCAAAAACCATTCCCTATCGATTCTACGCCAAATATTACAAATAAAATCGTAAGTTTTCGCTTGAAGTGAACAATTTCGTGTAACTCACTAAACGAAACAAATGCGAACTCTTGTTCAGTAATGTAGGTCGATTCGAACAAACAACAAATTGTACGAAAGTCTAAGAAACTTTCGGTATTTTCCAACGAAATCGCGAGAAAGTGTAGAAACGAGACTCGCGTAAATAGCAATCGGAAGTGCATAAAGTCCGGCGTAGGAGTCGATAACACGATAACGCTTAGTTGGCAATACGTGACGAAGTCCCAGAACATCTTTTGTTAATTGCTCGTTATCCTCCTCGACGTTCTTTTGTTTTGCCCGTAGCACGGCCTCCTTTATTTTCTGAACATCGTGAAAACACGTCCACTCTCTGGTTAACGATTGACGCAAGCGGTCAAACAATCGCTAATGAGATAATTATTAATGTTCTCAGCAGGTCTAGACACAACCATCAGAGGAAGAATCTGATTGGTGCTTTAATTATCATTATTTTTTAAATATATTGATAAAGATAATGTATAATAGAGTATTATCTAATTTATTATTTAATTTCATACAAATAAAATAACATTCTTCCAAAATATACTACGTGAAAATACAAATATTCCAAGCATACTCTGTTCTAATCATTCTAAAATAAAATTATTCCACGAAAAAATGATATCAATTCACCAGGAAACAGAAAGCTTCTTTCGTTGTGTTACATTTATTTATCAGTTGCTGACATTACCTAACCAGCACAGAAAAACCTCGTTAACATCTAAATGTTATCGACTGACGCAAATGAAAGTCCAAATGAATCAAGAAAATGAAACTGACTAGTAGTATTAACTGTTTCTTTGTGTGGTGCTTTTACCGTCTCTATTATTTGACCTGGACATAATGTGGAAAACGAAAAAAATTATATAAGCCACGATAGATTGGTCCCTGGCCGACGAAGTTCAAAAGAACTTATCGATACAACGATTGCATTATAACGTTCTCGTATCACGCCACTCCTTTGTTTCCCTTTGATATTCATTAATGGTGAATGGAATGTATTGAAGAAAGAAGAAAAATAATATTGACGAGATACTGTAAACTTGCTGCAGCTTTTTTCGTATTAGCATTAAGAATTATTATTCCACGATATTACTAAAATAACAGGCTAAAATAAAACAGAATTTATGGAAATATCTTTTACAACATAACTAGGTCATTATTACGTAATTTTCAAATATATTCTAGATGGTTAATATATTAATGTGAAGTATTGATATGAAAACATAATGGTTACTGCTACCACGAATAAATCATTATCATCGAATTCGTTGAATTTTGAAATTTACCGAATTAATAATATTAAAATTAACAAGTCGCTATAGCTGTTTTAAAATAAAATAAAAGATTCTAAATACAGTACTTATTGTTAGTAAATATTATGATGAGCATCTCCTTTAAACGTCTGACATATTTTTAACGTATGTGTTATGATCATAATGTGTTGTTCTGATTTGAAAACTAGAAATCAATGACTGATACAGATAGTATCTCATTATCGATGCTATAATATAGTGATACAGTAATAAATACAGTAATAAATAAAATTAAATTAAAAGGATATACATACATAGATACACAGGTAGCTTATGTTAGATATATTGTAAAGAATATATTACAAGGAACATCATGATAAAAATAGTTATTTAAGTGGTTTCACCCGTATCATTCACTATATTTAACATTGCAACAATAAGAAGTATAGACGTCAATGATTGCAAAAATATCTACGATTTCTTGGCGGTCGTTCATTTAATGTCAAGTATCAAGATTACAATGTATATAATGTACATGCAATAATATACATGCAAACAGCTGCTCGGTTTAGCGTGAAGCGCGCTATTTGTCTTGGCAAGCCTGAGTTTGTCCTTTCGTAACGACATCATGATGATTTTATTGCATAAAAATACGTTTTTCAAGTATCTTTAAATTCTTCTAGCTACACATCTTTTGTATACTGCATCGCTATAGTTTAATGTAGATATATGTATAAGTACACGACATTTTCGTTGTATTTTGCATAAACGTGTTTTATAATGATTTCAAATGAAAACGCAATCAATCTCGTGATGTAAGCGGAAGCATGCAATATGTGTAATTTCATTTACATATCATAATATAAATAATAAAAAACAAATGAATAAACGACACGTGCTCGTCTTGTAAAACCTACAACGTTACATATCTATGCTTTCAAAATAAACAAAGGTGGATATAGCGATTCACGAGATTACCTATAGTTAATCCAGAGATTTAGGTATTAAATAAAATTGTCCCTATTACAATCTACA